CAGAGATCACCTCTTGTGACCATTGTGGACCATTCGTTGGAAAAACAATGAGTGTTCTTAAGATGGATATTAAGACGACACAAGACCTCCAAGGTGGTGTCCTTCAATGTACCATCACATCGCCCTCCGGAAACTCTTCAGCAAATATAGTTGTGGCAAACGTAACATTGTTCCCGGATGGAACGACAGCACTTCCATCCGCTGTCGTTCCATCCGCGACTTCAACAAAAGTAGACGAAAAGACACTTCAAACACTTACGACAGAATTTGTGAAAGTGTCTACACATGAAGACATCATTATCTTAAACGGCGATAAAACAGACAGCTACAGAACATTTAGCAATACTCAGAGGATAATAGGTCTGACAGTCAGTGTACTAGTCACTATGATACTAGCAGCTGTCACATCTATCTGCAAAAAATTCGACAGTGAACGCAGGCTTCAGAACCTTCCTCTAGATCCGGGTACCCAAGTGGCCACTTCAACCGCTGTGAGTGACAGTCCCTGCAATAACTCAGGTGAACCTCACGAGTACGCAGAGATAAATGACGAGGGCAACGATGACACCATAAGCCCTTACGGTGAGGCAAAAGGCAATGTTCTGTACCAGTGCCGACGACAAAATCAAGAGGAGGTGGATTCACCCGACCAAAGTGTTGATTTTCCTGCTGAGCGACCAATACAAAGTAATAATGCATACAACGTCACAGTGAACACCAAAAGTAACGTGGCCACCTACAATCAGTAGTAAAGGCGCTACCTGTATACTAATATTGGCAAATAGATCGGTCGTTGTTCACAGCAATAAAGCAACATGGGAAATTAAAATTCAAGAGACATTCAGCATCTAATGAATATAAATGGCGTCTCTCATGGATGACAGAGGCCATATGTAGATAAGGATTCATTCCGCAGGTGTACCATTCGCGTGAACATACGAAGGCGTATCGAAATGGCTTTACATCAGGGTCCAGTGTCTACTCTAGTTTTCGCTATCATTGTATTGGTGGGCTTTTGTCAGAGTGGAGCATCTTCGCACGGCGCGACGGGTTCAGCAGAGCCAAAGTGTGCAGTCATCGTCGGTGGTGACAGGTCGACAACAGGCAGCAAGAATTCTGGTTCGTACGCAGTCTGCAACGTGACCGCCAGTACTGACTTGCAAACCCTGGACCAGATTCTTCCCTCGAATCTTGTCTCATTGGTGCTCAGACCCTACGCCCTGAATGAGATATCTGGTAGGTGGACACGTTTGTTCCATTGTTAAAACATAAATTAGGTCTCCCCCTAAACACTCAGATGTTACAAAAAAAACTGTGCAAGAATACCACAGATTGTGACCAAAATTACAGACAAAACGGTATGACAAAACATTCTGAAAGAAATTCGTTGACCAGGTGACCAATCAAATTGCGCTGTATACGTTAGACTATGGTTATATGTACTAGAGTGTGGAGATTGAGCTACGTAATTTGACTGCACATCATTATTAATTCATTCAGAAACACAAATAAGCTGTGTCGGAAAAAACTGTGGCTCTGTTTACCAGTAAATATTGCATTCTTTATAGATGTCATAGGTATAGGTCCCCTTGGTAAACATGGGCTATTATGTCTTTTTCAGGAATTCGAAAGTTAGATCTTACCGCGCTGCAAATTTTGCACATTGGAACTGGAAAGTTTGACGAAATAAACAGCAACAATTTTGAGAACATTTCCAACCTTCAAATGCTTCAAATTAGGGAAACTTTACTAGCAGTTCTGGAGGAACGTTCCTTCTGCTGCTTAACAAGTTTAACTCATTTGATTCTGAGTTCCAACCAAATAGCCGTGATCAGGCCAAACGCGTTTGCGACACTTCCTCGTCTGCGGACACTGAACCTCGCTCATAACAGATTGTCGGTACTTCGTCGAGATTATTTTACGGGCTTGGAAAACCTACGTTTGTTAAAGCTGAGCAGCAATGAGATATGTAGCCTGAAACGTGGCGTGTTTCAGAACCTCATATCTTTAAGGGGTTTGAATGTTGATCACAACAAGATACAGACAATAGAAGGAGAGAGCAGCCTTTGGCCTATATCCCTTATAAACCTGTCTTTAAAACACAACGGTATATTTGTGTTCGATCCCCTTAGCCTTCGTAATCTCACAAAACTCCGATCGTTTGACTTGAGTTATAATGGCCTCACAGCTATTGGTATGTCTTGGACCAAAATATTTCAAGGTCTGAGTGGGAAGACGAACGCTATGCTTCGATTTGCAGGCAATCCCTTCCGTTGTACATGCTCTAACGACTGGCTTAGACGACTTGGGTTTCGTATTTTGCCATTCAAAGATCTGTCCGTAGATGTAGTCTGCAACTATCCACCTAAAGTTGCCGGACAATCTCTCTTCCATGTTCCACCACACATTTTCACTTGTCCATCTCCGGTCATTAAAGTAAGTCGCAATCATGGCGGTCTGTCCTACAAATGTGAGGCATTCTGGGAAGACCAGCCACAGATGACGTGGGTCCTTCCAAACGGGGACAACTTACGGCTTTCTAACAGGGAACTGTACATGACTACAGCCGTTATCAGACAAACGTTTGGCCAGATAAATATTACTCAACAAACATTTTTTAAACCAGAGGGCTGGAATATTGCGGATAATCAAACAGAGATAACCTCTTGTGATCACTGTGGACCATTCGTTGGCAAAACAATGAGTGTTCTTAAGATGGGCTTTAAGACGATACAAGACCTCCAAGGTGGTATCCTTCAATGTACCATCACATCGCCCTCCGGAAACTCTTTAGCAAAGATAGTTGAGGCAAATGTAACATTGTTCTCAGATGAAACGACGAGTCTGCCATTCGCGACTTCATTTTCAACAAAAGTTGACAACACACTTCAAACACTTACGACAGAATTTGTGAAAGTGTCTACACATGAAGACATCATTATCTTAAACGGCGATAGAACTGACAGCTACAGAACATTTAGCAATACTCAGAGGATAATAGGTCTGACAGTCAGTGTATTAGTCACTATGATACTAGCAGCTATCACATCTATCTACAAGCACTTCGACAGTGAACGAAGGCGTCTTGATCCGAGTAACCAAGTGGCCACTTCAAACGATGTGAGTGACAGTCCACCAGACGACAACAGTCCGTACAATGACTCAGGTGAACCCCACGAGTACGCAGAGATCAGTGACGAGGACAATGATGACACCATAAGTCCGTACGGTGAGGCAAGGGCGAATGTTCTGTACCAGTCTCAGGGAGAGGAAGTGGATTCACCGGACCAAAACGTTGATTTTGCTGTACAGACACAAAGTCAAAATAGTGATGCGTACAGAGCAATTGTGGATACTAGAACTAACGTTGCCACATACAGCCAGTAAAAGGGCTACCTGATGATTATCAGTCGCTCACAAGCGATGCTCATATAGTTGCCATATAGAAGATTCTTGTACCCGTTCGCTATTCTGTAAATATTCTGTATATTCTGTGTATTTATTGATAACCACATGCACACAACGTTAGACAGGATTACATCCAACTATCCACACTACCTAAATGTACGTTTTATTGATGTACTAGCACAGCAGCGGAATTTTATATAGTGAAGATTACAAAGTTTCTTCAAAACTTGAGAGAGATTATGGTAGCTTTAAATTTTGCAATCTTTGACTACTTAAAGAAAACATTGAGAAAAGGCGATGTCAACCGGAAACTAGCACGTGCTGTTGCCTTGGCGTACACAGGCCAGCTCTTCTGCCACAGCAACATGCTCGCAAGGAAATTTCACCACAGACACTCATGAGTATGTAGTATACTACCCTAGATACATTATTCATGTAATATGCATGTCATGGCACGTGTACTGAGTACGTGCCGTGACACATATTACCTGAATAATGTATCTAGGGTAGTACTTTAATTTACGTCTGGCCGGTATAGCCACAGACAATCATGAAAAATGATGAAAAGTGACCATAGTTCTTCATAGTGTCAAATGCTCTAAAGTTAGGTGTTTTCACTCAATAGCGATATTAACTTTTCCATGCTGTTGTCACTGTTTTAAAATTATAGAAAACTGTATTTGTACACCTTAACGAGGCGACACCATTCGCCAATCAACCATTGTAAAAATATCAAGATGTTATCATGAAATTTCATTTGTGTTAGTAGTAGCCATAGTAAAATGTTGAACTTAATTCCAACACAAGATTACACAGAGATCAAATTTTTCAACGACCACTGTCTCCTTCATCAGGATAATTAATGACCAATTAATCTTATTAATGAAGGCGACAGTGGTCGTTGAAAATTTAATCTCTGTGTAATCCTTGTGTTGGAATAAAGTTCAACATTTTGCTATATTAAGCTTGTCACCATTCTGACAAAAAGTTCTTGTCATCAAGAACGTTGCATAAGCAGCTGGTCACCATTGTTAGAAGTTCATTTATGTCATACTTGTAACAGCTACGTGTGGTTATGAAATATTGACGTGTTATGTGTGTTTATGGTATACGTATCGTGATATATATATAGCAATAATAAATATGTGAAAACATATAATAGTTTGGTCTATCTAAAGCTACTTGGCTTTACATAGTATGTAGGCATATATCAGATACGAACTTGGATCATACGTATTTCCAATGGAATTACATGAACTGCACTTTACCGCTCCCCGCCAGAGGGCTCCTAATCAGATGCCAGCTCCAGTACTCCCATCAGTAACCTATGGCCTATATCTCTCACCTTACACACACCAGCTACTAATTTCTTTACTTTGCAAATAACTGAGCTTTCATGCAATCATACATCACCTGGATCTGCAAAGAAGGATTTTTTGTCTACCATATATATGCATTAATAGAATCCTTTCCTTTAAAGTTTGAATTACATGGGAACGTAGATTGACAAGAAGTTAAAGACCACTTAACCCTAGCTGGTCAATGATCAACTATTTCTAGAACAGTGACCTCACATATTCAGCAACTTCCGCTCACGTCTGAGTGCCCACCGGAAAAACAACATCATATGACAAGATGGCTGCCCGAGTGATCCTGTATGTTTTGTTTGTCGTCGCCCTTATAACTGTTGTTTGTTGTTCGTCTGCAACACTGAAACCTGCTGACACCCCTTACAAGGTTCAATACGTTGAACAGTACGTAGATAACTTCAACTTTGTCAGTTATGGACAACGGACGTACAAGCAGAGGGTTCTAGTTTCCGGTAAGTCGCAACCGTCGTTAATCTATTTCACGAGAGTTGTTAACTTGTAAAAGGACGCAACATATATCGCAACGTATACATACAACTGCAAGAAAATGAGCTCTTTGAGTCACCACAAAAGTTTAATTCCGCGCATTGATTGGTGCAACTTAATCAAATAAAATTTGTGGGAGTGGGATCTTGATTTCATGCATTTCCTCAGGATCCCATTTAAACTGTACACAGCAAACTTAAGGTATACACGTACTATGATCAACATTATATGAACATTTTTCTGCTTCCTAAGTCGCCAGTGTAACCCCAATTGTGCCATATCACATGTCATACTTTAGATACTTATTGGGAGAAGAGCAAAGGTCCGATATTCTTCTACACCGGAAATGAGGGGCCCATCACGGCATTCTGGGAAGCCAGCGGGTTCGTCAAGGAACTGGCCGCGAAATTCAAGGCTCTGTTGGTCTTCGCGGAACATGTAAGTATGGTTTCATTGTAATTTTCTCATCACAGCTCTTTACGTAAATGGTTTATATTCTGTTGCACTTCAATATAGAGTCGAAGCGGCGCATGGGACATTGTATACCTTGGTATTCGCAGGTTCTTTCTTTTCTTTAATTTTGTGTTGTGAAATAAAATAATACAACTAGAAAGGCCAATATTTGCTTTGGAGCAAATATAGCGATGGGTTCACCACATTTTACCACATGGCAGGGAAAGAATGAGAAACACAAGGGAAAACAATGCTTTACATTGATATAACTATAGTATGAAGTAACATACAACTAAGACTACAACAGTTGGATAGCTATTCCCTACATTATTGGTTAGGATTGCATAATGCAAACTGTTGATTTTCAAGATAAAAAGAAGCGTTCATAGCCCGCATTCCAATGCTGGAGCAGGAAAGCTTAAAATACCTACCAAAACACTTGAATACAGACATACTGTCAGTATGGCATGGCTCTGTGCAGGTGTAAATGAAGTTAAGCCAGTTAAATCCCAACAGCCAATCAGCAAGGAGAATAGAGGAAAGCTGCATGCCTATTGGTTGATGCCTTGCATGCCATTGTGATGACTCATGTCCAAATGTGGTAAACACTGCACACTTACACAGTAATACATTAGCTATTACACAGCCAAAAAACTCAAATAAAACCATTCTAAAAGCCTGTATCACAATAATTTAAAAAACGCCTAGGGGTATTTGCCCACTGTACCTCCATACCAAATTTCAGGACCTTAGGCCCTAAAATGAAGAAGCTGAATCCATTTAAAGATATGGCAGGAGGAGAAGGAGAAGAAGAAACATCAGAAAAAGCAATATGGTTTCACCACACCACTTCGTGGTGTGGTGAACCCATAAATATTAAATGGGTAGCAAAGAATAACAAAATTGTGTACAGGTTGCCAGATCACCTGTTTGCAGATACAAATGCAAATGCATAAGCACCTACAACACGACGCTTCATTCATTCATTCATTCATTCATCCCATTAACGTACATACGGTGTTCGTTTTGGTATTTGTGAAGTGAACTCTAATTCAATTTTTACCGCGTCGAAGTGAGTCACCTTTGGGTCCTAAACTATAGAAATCCACATAGGGCGAAAACTATGTTCTACTTCCTTAACGGACCTTACCTCCTGCAAACATCCACAGCGTTATTACGGCGAGTCTCTGCCGTTCGGTAACCGTTCCTTTACCGGTGAGAATATCGGACTGCTGAGTGTGGAGCAGGCCATGGCGGACTACGCACGGCTCATGACGGGCATGCGCACACAGCTCGGCTGCGAGTCCCCGGATGTGTGTCCCATCATCACTTTCGGCGGCAGGTGAGAGATTCTTCTCACTTTAGAGGGATCCAAGAATCCCGAAAACTATATAGCTTTGATCTAAAATGTAGTAGTAATTCAAAAACATCATGCTAATTCATAGTTTGGATTGTAGCTGTTTGCGCACACAATTGCAGAACGTTGAAAGGTTTAAATGCTTACTTTCATGTGTTCTTGGTAGTTACATGTTTTAAGTTAAAACTTTTGTTCAACACAAAGGTAACTGTTCTCACATAGAGCTCTCGACCACTCACACTCCAGACAAGCCACCACGTGACTAGCCTCACTGGGTCAACCAACTGATGAAGACCAGAGTGACTAGTCGAAAGCTCTAGGTGATAACATTTACCTTTGTGTTGGAAGAAAAGTCTTAACTTTAACCAAAGCTATGTTGTCATCATCATACCATCTACCATGTCTCCTTAGTTATGGAGGGATGCTGAGTGCCTACATGAGGTTTAAGTACCCAAACCTGGTGACCGGAGCTCTGGCTGCCAGCGCGCCCATCTACCTCGTAGCTGGTCTTACAGAGGAGCATCAGTTCTTTCAGGATGTCACGGAGGTAACTTTCATCAGCTTCGAGACTTGATACTATCTGTTAGGCACATAGATATAGATATGTTAGGTTTTATTCGACATTAGGTCTTATTCAACACACTTATTTTATTGTTTTTACTCTCTTTATGTAGTTTGCCATACAATGTACCATGTGCATTTGTCGTGCAATAAAGTTCTTTCTTTCTTTCTTTATATCCAAAGGATGCAAGTTCCATATGTTAGCGTCTATGTTAAAGTCCACTTTTATACATTTTGTCTTCTATGATATTAATACCTGTCTTGTCGATCTCTCCGCAGGATTTTAGAAAGAGTGACGCCCACTGTCCACTGAAGGTCCAGTCTGCTTTTGTCCAGATGGACGAATTAGCTGCTGAGGGTCAGCAAGGTATACAACAAATATCTTAGTTTGTAACAACGTTTTAATAATTAACGTTTTAATAATTAACGTTTTAATAATTAACAGAATACTCATGTTTTAACATGAAAAATAGAGTATTCTGTTAATTATTTCTTTTCTCAGTGTATCAGCGGTACCCTTGACCGATCATTGTTATCACATATGCATGTAGGTGGGTGAATGTTCTACGTAAATCGTCGTATACATGTAACTGACATAGATAGCCTGGGTATACCGGTACCATCCGGATTTTGGCTCCGCAACGCTTCACATTTTTTCGAGCGTTGCGGAGCCAAAATCCAGATGGTACCCAGGGTAATACGTGGAACTAGCGAATTTATGTTCCCTAATTGTCAATTCCTGTGTGATTACGTTAATGACCAGGTCTGAAGGAGATCTCGGACCGGTTCCGACTGTGCTCCCCGCTGACAGACAGACAGGACCTGTCCCATCTGTACGGCTGGGTGCGGAACTCCTTCACTACCCTCGCCATGCTGGACTACCCCTACCGTACAGCGTTCGAGGCCAAGCTACCGGCCAATCCTGTCAACGTAAGGTTTCCGACTGTTTTCTGTCTGCCAGTTCCTTACACCGTCCTGGGAAGTTAACCGACATAAATGGCATAATAGTATGTTCTAATTGAAGGTTTTATACTTTTCTTAGACTGTAAAGTAATGACTGAAAGGGTATGACCCCGCTAGTCGACCTACTACTGCTGCTTCTACTTGACTGTAATTTCTGTTCTTCCTACTATTAGGTGGCCTGTGGTTTGATTCTAAACAGCAGTGATCTACTGAAGGGACTGTCACAGGCAGCAGGTAGGATAACAAGAGAGAATACAATACGTTTTAGATAGATTTATCACACATACATGTGTATAGTATTGCCGATTTCAGATTTCGGCTACCAGCCGCTTTAATTTGTGGCACAAATAGGTTATTTATATTTCTGTATAGCAAACTATGATGGTTGAAGCTAGTGAACAAAGATTACATAAAAAATATATAACAATATCACAGAATCTGACTTCAAACAACTTTTACAATTGATAGACAGCTTGGCGATTTTCGCCCTGCAAAATTGCTCATGCCTTTTATGTCGAACTCCATACTGCAGGATTGGTCTATAACGGGACAGATGGAACACTTGAGTGTTTCGACATCTTTCAGGAGTTCATAGCGTGTGCAGACCCTACAGGGTGTGGTCTGGGGGATGACTCAACTGCATGGGACTATCAGGTGAGAGGACATCTCATGTTCATCCTCTGTTAGTCACACCAACAACAGATTCTGAACGTTGTGTCGACAGTCACATTTGTCGCACCATCGTCGTAAGATCGCAATCTTGGAATAGTCGCGTGCATATATCGTACAGAATTCAGCTGTCTGTCTTAGACCCTTGTCGGAGGTTGACTCTGTCATATCCCCGAGCCGTACCGATCCGAAAAAGTAATCTCTTGGCTTGGCCTTTGGAGATTACCGAAAAAGTACAAGGAGTACAAAACGGACGGCACCCAGGCTAGCAAACATAGAGAGTTAACCAGCAGGTCGTGTCTCCTCTCAGGCATGTACGGAAGTGACTCTACTTGAGAGCACCAACAACGTGACGGACATGTTCCCTCCGCACAACTACACGGCGGAGGCCCGGGCGGAGTACTGCCGGGACACCTTCGGCGTCACGCCCCGGCCCGACTGGATGGGCATACAGTTCTGGGGCAAAAGTAAGACCACTAGATCTCCTACTGAAGTTGTGTCTATAGATTGTACATTCATAGCCTGACTGAATCGTGGTCCAGACTGCCGACCCAACGGTCATTAATATTATGAACTTTCCCTAAGGTTGCACTGCAATAGATAAACCAAATCAGTAGAGTGTAGATGACACATTGCCGATGGCATGCTGTGCTTAGCAATTGTGCATCATCAATTGGGCTTCTCAGGGGGGTTCACATATCTTCACAACGTACCACACAACCACCGCGAATTTTGCTTCAACCCCATTAAGGACCTCCCATGCTGGACTAAAATACTAATGCACTACCACATGTATCTCACAGTTGATTTCTACATTCTATGTATAAATCACATCAATACATCACAAGTTCTAAGTCATATATTTTTTGTTTCCAGATATTTTGTCGTCGAGTAACATCATCTTCTCCAACGGTGACCTGGACCCCTGGCGGAGGGGCGGGGTTCTGACTAACCTGTCGTCTTCTCTCGTCGCTATAACTATAGAGGGAGGAGCACATCACCTGGATCTCAGGTCAGAACATAATAATAGTACCTTTTGTGTTGTGAATAAGGTGTTTTGTGCTTATTTTTATTGACAGTGTTAACATATGACATGTAGGATACTATGTTTGGGTGGGAGAAAGCCCTAGCAAAACAGTTTCTTTTCGATGTGAAGACAAAGACGCCATTTCAATGTGAAGTCAAAGAAATGTCAGTTCTACTCCATGCAAGTGGTTTGCAACATATTGATTCTTGAATTGCAATAATTTCTATGCAAATTTCTAACAAAAATCACTGGTTCCACTGAGTAGAAAGGAACGCACACACATGAGGTACATGTACGAATAGTGGCCTGTCCTTGGTGCTGATTTTCTTTCTACTACGAAACAACATTTCCCGTAACTGTCGCAAATTTAAATGCACAGGATCGGTTTTAATTTTTCTGTCGTTCTTGTAGGGGTACGAACCCTGCAGACCCAGCCTCGGTCACCCAGGCGAGGCAACAAGAAGAGGCTCTGATTGGCCAGTGGATCAGCCAGGCCACCAATCAGGTTTGGGAAGGGCCTACCACGAAATAACGGCGAGATCAGGACGGAACATGCTGGACTTTACCATAATGAGAGTTATGTACAATACCAACAAGAAGTTATATTTTAAGTTGGCCTTTTTCCTTACAGAGGAGTACTGCTCACTAACTTTGCGAAACAAACTTGGAGATAAAATAATACAGCTTCGTACTTATAGTGCCCTAACGTGGCTTAATGACAACCTCTTGTGTATTGATCTACCCGTTACAGTCTAGGGCTACCATACCTTCAACACAGTAAAATAAGATAAAATACAAATTTCCTGTGTATTATCCGAAATCTATAGTGTTTTCAAGAATATCAAACCTCTGTTGAAGAAGATAATACTATGAACCATTTGTACCTTGCACCATGTATTTCGTTCTCTGTGTTTTCAGCAGTCCCCTATGTGGATAGTGTGAGCCTGGTTCGCTGCCAGCGGTCTGCCATAGGCACAGAACACGTCCCTGTAACGTTTAGACAACATACAGTTACAACATTTTAAACCATGCTTCAAACATTGTAATCAGAAATTAGAGATTTTAGCCTTCAGGAAAGTATTATGGGTTTTCGTGACCTTCAAGTTCACCTCATTTCCTGTGTCTGACCTTTTGTCCTGTCATTCTGCCTGCCAATCTTCCCCATCCACGTGCTATCTCGACAAACATCCCCGCAGTATAGCAACCCAAAATAATACTTCCGTACCCGACTATAATCATCCTCTGATGGTGAAAGTCTCAGA